TATATGAGACCAAACTATAACTTACACTATAATATAACTTTATACTATAACAACCCTGCCCCTCTTCTCTGTCACCATCTTCACAATTGCCAAAGCTACAAAACCAAGAAATCTGAGAACATTGTCACAAAGAGAAAATAAGATCCAGAACTGTTATATACATACACAGGTACACGGACACACACCACACATGCACTCACATAGACATGCACCAGTATTCACAAAGTAATATTGAAGCTTTGAATCGTTTTGAACTTTAAATAAATAGAATCATATAGTGTGTATTCTTTTGTGCCTTGCTCTTATTCAACATTATGTTTGAGATTCACGCATGTGTGCAGCTATATCGTAATCCACTATGTGAAAATTTTATGATTTATTTTCCCACTTTCCTGTGGAAAGACACTTGGGTACTTTTTAGTTTTTTACTGTTAAAGACAATGCCTCTATTAACATTTGTGTACATATCTTTCTACACACATAGACAAATGTTTTTCTAAAGTATGTGTCTAAGGGTGGAATTCCTGGGTATAAGTATATACATACATCTTCATGTACTTGGACAGTTATTACCAAATTGTTATACAAAATGATTTCAAATCTTTACACTCCCACCAGCAGTAATTTGTCTTGTACTCCATGTTTTCAGTGATCTTTGCTCTTGTTAGACATTTTTATTTTTGCTAATCTGGTGTAAAACAATTCATACTGTTTGTATTTGCATTTTTTTGGTTACTAATGAAGTTGAGCTTAATATGTTTATTTGCCCCCTCTGTTCCCTCTTTTTGGAATTCCCAAGAAGAAGTTTTTGTATTCTTTGGCAGTTTTTTTAGTTATGTTAGGATTTTATTGTTTTCAAGAATTCTTTGGATAGTAATTCTTTGTTAGTAGCCTATGTTGCAGTATCTCCTGCCAGTTTATGACTTGTCTATTCTTTAAGGTGATGAATAGAAGTACTTACTTCTAATGCTTCTACTGTAGTTAAATGTATCAATCTTTACCTATACGGTTTCATTTTCTATCTTAAAAAAACTTATCTAAAGATTCGAAAGACATTCTCTTATTTTCTTCTAAATACTTTAAAGTTTGCCTTTGAATTTTACGTGTACTGTGCAGGTAGAGATATAGTGAGGTCACATAAAAATTGAATTTTGACATTTTAATGTCAGAACCATTGTTTGTGTCATAGTCAAATGAGCATGATTTTTCAAGTGTCACAGTGCAATCAATCATTACACACTTCCCTAGACCTCACAGTTCACTCAGACTGACATCTTAACATGTTTCAGAAATATTATACTCAGAATGTTAAAAAATGTAAATAATTCATTCCAAACAATGCTAATGCTTCTCATTTGAATAAGAAAAGATTGATATTCTAGCCATGGTAATACCAATATGTATTAAACTTGGCTGAGAAAATGTCTTTATAAAATGAAGCAATAACTGGAAATATCATTTTAAAATATATTGGTAATTCAACTTCCAGAAAGTTAAAAGTCATTCATCCTAACATTGAAGGACAATAACATGATATATTTCTTATGGCAAATCTAACTTTTGATCTATCATCATTCATTGTTAACTGGATGGTGGCAGTACAATTTTGATTCAGGTTGGGGGATGTGTGTGTATATGTGTGTTTGTGCGAGAGAGAGAAAGATGCAGTGCAAAATCAAGCTGATAAAGCATAGACCTCTGTACAATTATATTATTGAGAACATTAGCCACTGTTTAGAGAGGCTATCATCATGTGGAGAAGGTTCTTTTATTTCCTTTATTTGAAAATGTCGTTATACTTGAGCATTTAATTCTAAACCTTTCCTCTTTAATTCACATTATTCATTTATTCTACAGATATTTATTGAGAACCTGTATGTGGCAAAGTAGTCTATGCTCAATTATTTGAGTATCATAACTGTATCAGAATTCAGGTACTGAAAGAACTCCAAGCTGATGTCCAGAAAGTTGCAGTCACCTGGCCAAAATCTCATCGTGGTAGAACAGAAATAAATGTCTCCTGACCCTAGGTTTAGAATTCCTCTTGAACAATGTTGTCCACAAAAAAATTATCTGAAAATCTACCTGAATCCTCAATATCAATGTAACATTTATAAAGATTGCTAAAGGGATAAATCATTGTTTCTGAAAATAAATATACTACATGGTTTTTGCCATCAAGCTGCTTATAGCTTCCTGAGGGGAGGAATCATGTATTATCTTCATCAGACTTGTTATATTTACCTAACACACTGAGCTGTTCATAGGATGTACTCAACAGATACTGACTGAATGAATAAAACTATATATTGAAATATAGGGTGCTGACATCATACATTTTAGATGATCAGAGAAAAGAAAAATCAGCCTGAAGGTGGAAAGTTAAAAAAAAAAAGTCTTCATGGAATAATTAGAATTTAAAGTGGGCTATAACTAATGGTTGTAATTTAATTAGACAGACAAGGACTCCCAAGTTTCAAGTTACTTGTTTAGCTCACTCTCTATTAAGACTGTAGATTCAGGTTCTCTGAGTTACTTGCTTTCAAATTTTATATCTAAGCATGAATTCTAGGAATAAGCATATTCATAAAAAATAATATGTCAGTATGCTAAGATATATGTGTAAGAATATCAATTGTTGTGTTGTTTATAAGAGCATTAAAAAATGAAAATAAGCCAAATATTCATCAGTGGATTAATGGTTACTATAACCAAATTAAAATTAACAATGAATGCAAGGATATATTTTCAACATGCAAAGACATTGCTAATATTTTGGAGAGTAAAAACATCAAGCTGGAAAATTATATATATGGTATGATTCCATTTTTATAAAAAAAATGAGAATACAAAGAATGTAAAATAGGATGATGGACATTTTTATTTTCTCTGTACTTTCCCAAATTTATAAAAAGTCTTAAAATCAGTATTATTTATAAAAATGATTACACTTTTATTTTGTTGTGGGGAGAACTCTAAGTTTACTCTGTTGACTTATCAGGGATATAAAATATATAGGACAGTTCTCTCCATTCATTAAATATATTTTATTGAGCACCTGTTATGTACTGGTACTGAGAACAAAAGTACCTAAATCTTTTTAAGCTCCTCTTGACTTTAAAAGAAGATGGTAATCATAAATGGGGCACCAGGAATCTATTTCCTTCAGAATCGTCACTTTTGAAGGGTCCTTTTTCTTTATGCTGACTTTTAAAACTTAGATTGGTTTTTGTGTTCTTGCTGTATGGTGTATTCAGGTTTTTCCATGTTTGTATTTTTAACTGAAATAATTCAATTCTCTGTTTTTCTAGGATAAAAAGTAACTCTTAAAACATTTAGAGCCAGAGAAAAATGTTTAATGGGTTTTGAGTTGACATTGAAAACTTACACGTGTATTAATTATAATTTTATTCTGTACTGTATCACTTTATGCTTCTGTGGAATATATTTTTAGATATTTAATTATTTCACAATAATTATGTCCATCTTTATTGTCAATTTTAACATTGAAACTCCCAGGGGGTAGTACTTATCATCTTGACGATCATTAATGCCTAGCACCTTGGCGTTCCTGTGAGGGTAATATTGTTAAATTTGGTTTGCACAAGACAAGAGAGAACATGTCCCAGCTCTAGTGGCAGCCAACCAGGGTTAATTGTATGCATTCATGAGGCCAAGAAAGATCCTTTGTGGACTTACTGTAAATAATCTGTGCAGCTAAGTATGGGTGCAGGCTCTTTGAAATAGTCATAATCCAAAAAACACACTCAATGTTTGGGGATTTTTAATTGGTTATTCTTTTATATTAAAGAAGCTATTAGCAGGAGCCCTTCTGTGGTTTGTGCAATATTAGCAGCTAATATTAATAGTTTCCAAATGTTTTGTGAGAACTGACAAGCATTTTCATTTGCAGCACCTCTTTTAATCTTTATACCATCTCTGAGACAGATATTGCTACATCAGTTTTCTAGGTGAACAAATATAAATCCAATTAGGTTAAATGACTTGCCCAAATTCACATGGCTAATAAGAAATAGATCTGGATTCAAATCTATGTGTCCTGACTTCAAGACCCATTCTATTTCAGCCATAGCAAGCTGCTACGACTCCTCCTCTGCCATTGAAGTTAGAAGTGTTACTAATATTACTGGGTTGACTCAACCTAGTTATAATTGCCCCTGCAGCCACCTCTGATTGTGAATATTAAGTATGTTTTACTTAGGTTCCATAGAGAACCTCTGACAAGATTTATACAAGAGTATACACATGTGTTCGTTCCTAAGCTGCCCTTCTGATTGAGCCGTTGCCCTCCAGCTTAAGTTTTTTGTTTTTTTTTTTAAATGGTTTTTAAGACCAGTTAACAGTCAGTGACTCTGCCTTTTATCCTAGGACTTAAAAAGAACATTTACATAAATAGAGAGGTCAGTCTATTGATGTAGTAATTGCAGTACTGAAACTGAATAAAATTTAGTTACTAAATGAAGACATGTAGATTTAGTAAATGATCAACAACTACTAAAATGTAAAGTCATTATTAGTTACATACACACTTATAATCAAATGACCACTGAAGGAAATTTGTGTGATCACAACTTTTTAGTATTGAAATTAAAGCGAATGTTAATAGTAGAATTTAAGGAGGCAAAGGAAGAAGAAAATTGGAATAGAGTTATTGAAGAAATGGCTTGAGAAACCATTTATATCTTGGCATAAAAATCCTTAGAGAACAGAGTTTATTTTTTTTTACCTTAATCATGAGGACTATTTGAGGCCCTTGAATGTTTGTGACTTTAGAATAGCAACAGATTAATTCTAAAGCAGCTAAAGTAATTAAATTTCCTTCATCTCTCTTATGTTAACACAGCATAGGGAACTCAATCTCTAGATGCAATTCTGAAACAGGACTGAACTTTTATTTCACTTATATGTCTCTTAATTTTCTTTTACTCTATATGGAATTTTTTTTGAATAAAATTATCTTGATTTTCTTTTTACTCTAGGCTTGATCCTCCACTACCTGAGACGTTGAAAAAGGAGCAGCAGAGCTCAACTGAAAACATGTCTTTAGAAACTCTAAGAAACAGCAGTTCAGAAGACCTCTTTGATGAGATTTAACTGTCTCAAAAAAGTACTTTGATGTTCACTAGACTATATTTTCTATTCATTTCGTTAAACTAAAAAAAGCAAAATTTCAATTCAGCAGCAGCTATTACTTCATCTTACAATTTAATTACATACACACTGAGTTGAAGCCATTGTGCAAAATGGATTATACATGTATATGAAGATATGATTTGATGACAGTGGTACATTATTCTAAACTATTCATTCAACATGACTATAATTACATAAAATCTCACTTTTTGTTACAAAGGACATGTTTATCTTACTCTGTTCACACATATTATATATGGTAGCTGTCTAACATCCTGTCTAGGAAGACTTTGGAAATATGACAAAGAAAATGTCTGCAGGTTTTTTTGAATAGTCATATTCAGAACAATTACATCTGAGTATTTTGATTTGTTGAATGGTGTATAAACCTATTTTTAGTTTGTACACAAACAACCCGAAAAACTGATGATATAATTTCTGATACATTGAAGATTTTGTATTCTTAATAAAATATGTCACTTAGCTTAACTTTTTCGTTCACTATGCTAACAGGTCTTCATAAAGTGGTTACTAATGTAAACATAACCCCTTTTATATTAAAAAAAAGCATGTTTTTGGAGATTATTGATAAAAGAACTTGTTTTACATGTATGAGGACCCTCTTTGGTGACAAGGATCTTGTCATATTCATGTGTCATATTTACCTCAATGACATCTGACACAACTTCTTAAAAAATACTCAGTCTCTACTGAATCCTTCATTTCATCTTCCTTCTCTCTAGTTGGACATTTTTTCCATGCTACTCAAAGTTCAGAATGACCCCTATGTTCATAAACCCCAAAATCGGTCCATTCTAATCTCCATCTCACTAGGCCTCTCAGCAATATTTGAGAGTCAAACACTTCTCCTCAGCAAACATTTTCTTCACTTTACTTTTGCAATAGTATATCCTGTTTCTATTTCCTTTTCTTCTAGGCCCCTTATTTTTTAGACTTCTTAGATGAGTTTTTCTTACCCAACAGTTAAATTTTGAGTACTATGGGCTTAATCTTCAGCCTTCTTGTTTCAATTACCTACATTATCTCCCTAGGTTATCTGTGGTTTTAAATACCATCTATATGTTGAAATCTCCAAAATTAAAATAGTTCTCTTTCTATAGTCTCTACACACACGCATGCACGCGCGCACACATACACACACACACACAGAGGTTTGGGCAAAAATAGGTTTATGATTCACATGGAAAATAATACAGTAATCAATAAATAATAACATAAGAATAAACTCTGTTTTGTGTACTCGCAATTGTTAACCTACTTTTCTCCACCCTGTATATATAATTTACCATTAATTCATTACCAGAGGAGGTTCTTAAAAATCCACCTGAGTACATCTTTCTGCTTATTGTCCATTTGGATATTTTTGCACTTCTAAAGCAGAGATTTGATTTCATCCCAACATCATTTTTCTCCAGTTTTCCCCAAACTAATTGTACTGTCACCCAGTTTCTTCAAACTGAAAACCAGGAATCTTCCCCGGTGCTTCTGCCCTTCTTTGCCCACATCCTATTATTTTTACCTCCAAAATATACTGTGGCTCCGCCTACTTCTCTCTTTCTGTCTACTACATCGGTTTTCTGACTGTTCTCCCTCTATAGTCTAACTCCTCTACAATCCAAACAAACCATATTTTAAAATTTTAGATAAGGCTATTTCACTGCCTGAGTTAAAACTCTCCAATACTAATCCATTGCCCTTTGAATAAAGTTCACGCCCTCACCACAACCTTCAATGTCTGATGTGGCCTGGCCCCTGCCTACCTCTCTCATCTGATTTCCTGTTCCTGCCTCTTTCTTTACTTTTCTTGTCTCTTGCTGTCCCTCAAGTAGGCCAGGTCTCAAAACCATTGTACTGTTGGCCTTTCTGCCCAGAATGCTCATCTCATACGCTTGATTTCTTCTCATCTTTCAGATCTAGAATCAAATGTCACCTCTTCAGAGATGCTTTCCCTGAAATACCCTTTTTAAAGATGTGCACCTTCCCAGTCACTCTGTGTCACTGAAATGTTTTTTTTCAATTGTGCATGGAATTATTTTTTTCATATCTCCGGCTTTCTTGCTCTCCCTCTCTCCCTTCCAACTTAAAAAATAAGCCCCATGATAGCAGCCGTATGGCCGTCTGCTTTATTTCTCGCCTCCCCTGTACCTGGAACAGGGCTGGATTCACAGAGGCTTACCAAGTGTGTATTGAATGAAGTAACGCATGTGTACTGCATAGTAGACACTCAAATGCTTCTTTATAAGTTACTAAACCATTTTGAAAATAAACCCATTAAAAGATTAAAATTTAGATGTTTTAATACAAAGAAATAATTTTTCAGAAAGCTCAAGTACCTTTTGGGATTAATTACAAATAATACATAAAATTCAGCCACAGGGTTTGAACTGAGCAGGTCCACTTACACAAAGATTTTTTTTTCAATAAATACCTGTACTATTTTGAATCCATTGTTGGGAGTTTACAAATGGGAGAGCCAACTGTATGCATTGTTCTATGCCATTTTATATAAGTATTAGAGCATCCTCAGATTTTGGTATTTGTGGGCATCCGAGAACCAGTCCCCTGCAGATACCAAGGGACAACTTAAGTTTTGGGGAGTCAGAAGTTACACCTGGATTTTTGGCTGCACAAGGGTCTGCTCACCTAACCTCTACATTTTTCTAGGGTGAACTGTACATAGATATGTACACACATAGGCTTGACTATAGAGAACAGAAAAAAATTACCATATTTTGCTGCATATAACATGCTCCCATTTATAATGCACACCCACATTTATGTGCTCTTTATACATGGGATTATTATGCCCCTTATTATATCTGTGGTATGTAATCACTATACCCATATATAATGTGCATCCTTATTTATCCCTCAAAATTTGGGCAAAAAAGTGCACATTATACATGGAAAAATGTAGTACACATTATTGTTTATATCAGAAGTAGGATTTTACTAAATCAATGGAACACCAAAATACTTTAAATAGAAATCTTACTGCATTTTATTTTCATGGTGTCTTCTATTTTAGATGAAAAATCTTAAGTATAATATAAATATATGAAATCTAAAAATGTAATTATAAAACATAAAATTCTACTCAGCCACATAGAAACTTTACTATAATAATGAATCTCATATAATCCAAGATTTACCTTGGATCTTTCCAAAAGGATTTTATGTATGAAGTACCAGAATCTCAAAACAATGTTATCTCATCTGAGTAAATCACAAATAACTAACCAAAATCAGTGTATGGCTCTGTGTGTGTGTGTGTGTGTGTGTGTGTGTGTAGTTTAAGGGAAGAAAAAAAGAAGAAAACAGAATTTTGGCTATTAACCCACTAGTGATGAGAGCGGGATATACAATGTTTCATAAATAATCGTAACAGTAGAATCTATAAAGTTCAAAACATTTACAGAATTTTTATTCTGTTTTTCCAGGGCAGTGGATCTCTTCAACCATTGCTGTGTGTCAGATTGATTAAACTGGTTGGAACAGAGTATAAATAGCCCATTGTCGTTTCCTCCTTTATACCTGGTGTGGAAAGGTGTGAGGGATGGCTTTATGCTTCTTGCCCTGTGTAGACAGGTGTCTATAGATCTGGTGGTAGGATGTTCAGCCTGCCATGCCATGCCGTGATTTTTCTTCATATTTTTCCATTGCCTGTACTCTGAAACAGGTTGTTGCAGAAGAACACTGAAATGGAAGGCACCAGAGCTGAGTTACAATGCAGCACGGCTCTTTTGACCATAGTGCCCTCCCTTCTAAAACAAGGTGATTGCATTTCTGAGGGTTTTTTCAGCTTAAAATTTATAATTCTTGGCCCTGGCATCAGATGGTCTGGCTCAGGCCTCATTAGGAAATTTATGAAAGAAAGTTTCCATCTCAGGAAGAGATATCTTTATTACGTAGTTTTAAAAAGTCAAGAAACCACTTTAGAGAAGTTTTTCTTCATGGCCTATCACTCAAACTTATAAAATACTAGACCCTGTGTTTTGGAGCCAAGCAGCTCTTTCTTGAGTAAGTCTGATTCAACAAATGTTTATAAAGGATCAGTTATTCATAAGACACAGAACTGGGCCATGTAAAGAATTTAAGAATAAATCCATCCATTCAGCAAACATTCGTTAAGCATTTGTACCAGTCTCTGTTCTGGGCACTCACTGTGGCAGGGAATAACATGAGCACTCTCGCTGTGGAGGATGTATGCGAGTAAGTGAAATTTGGGGCCTGCTCTCAAAGAGTGGAGTATTGGGGGGAGGGAGGACTTGGAGCCCCAAGTCACTATATAATGAACTATAATATCATGCAGTGCTAGGGTAAATGGCATAAAGGGAATGATAAAAATGTAAAGTTATGGGTGAGGATCTACAGAAGAAGATAAAAGATGCAGTTGAGAGGTTAAGAGAAATTGGCACGGATTGAGGACGGTGAGCCGAAGAGGAAGCCGTCTGCTGCTGGATCAGAGGGGAGAGCAGAAGGTCCTAGAAAATGGGAGGATGAGATTAATGCCCAAATTGTACTTGTGAGTCACTGGGATGAAGGGGACAAATTAGAAGCTATCCCAGAGGTTGTGCTGGCCGGGGGGTTTGGGAGTGGGAAGCTACCTTATGTAATGAAGACATGACGATGATGGAGCTCCTCAGTTCTGCCTGGCACCTCCTGAGGCGTCATGGACCGGCAGGGAAGTTTTGGTCGCGGGGCCCTTCCCGGGCACCTGGGGCTGGGAGTGGGGCCCCGTGGTAAAGACTGCCCGGAAGAGGAGGCTGCTCCGATCCTTTTGTGTCTCTCATTCTTTCACTCAGTACTATTTATAGAATTCATTTTTAATAAAATGAAGCTGACATCTAAATTTATGCAAGACTTCATGACTTTATCTATAAATCAGATTATCCAAAAAATAGGTAGTTAAATTTTGTAAGGGAGAGTGATAGAATTACAAAAGAACTATTCATGCATCCATTTGTAGCTATGGTCTAAATTAAAAATTTTCACTGCTGATCTGACAGCTCCGAATAAATGCTTTTCAGGAAGGCAGATTTCATTTGCAAGTGGTGTAGAGGTACCTGAAATAATTTTCTCTGTACTTTAAAAACTGGAAAAGGATACCTTGAAAAATACGTGACAACAAGCATTTTGGGCTTGCTTTGTAACTAACCACCCATCACCTCCAATCCTGACTCCGCCCTCGTTCTTACCCTCTCAAACTAACATGCTCTCCAGCGTACATTCTACTCGTTTTTCCCTTTCAAATATTCACATATCCTCGTACTTACCAACCCTTGTCCTCACTTTCTGATTTTCCTTTCCTCTATTTGAATAATATTGAAGATGGCTTTTATTGTTTCTGTTGATTTTTCTTCCCTCTTTTGGGGCTCTTCTTCCTAAACTTGTATTCACAGTGTCACAGAGAACTCTCCTCTTTGAGTGA